AACTGTAAATATTAAAATTCTCATATATCTCTTCACAGTCCAGGTATAAATTATGGCTACTTGGCCAAATTCCAGCTTAGTTAATTACAATCTCACATAAAATAATATCCTGTCTACTTTAATTGGAGCATGACATAATAGGAGATTTATAATAATCAGAAATTTCCTGAATAATAATTCATTTAAGGAACAATTTTATTACAGACTTCTATCTATTGGTGCAAGTTTTCACTAAAAACGTAAGCTGTAACCACCACCTTATTATATATTCGCAGTGATCTGTCTTAGGGTTTTATATGATTTGCATTACTGCAGTATCTGAGTATCTTCTATGTGAAATCAATAGCAATATCAAAGCCCATAACTGGATAATGAAGTTTCTAAAATGACAATAGAGCTGAAATCCCCTTCTCTTACACTTTTATTCCCCTATGCTGTCATTTTAATTTCAGGGTTCTGCTTGTATGGGTGTTTTGTTGTTTTTGTTGGTTTTTTTTACAACCACGGAAACACTTGTAAAAGAACTTGCAGAATCTGACATCAGATCTGAGGCCTGGAACAAGTTGGGATTTTTGTCACGGAGCTTTTTACAAGTGGGTCAAATCCTTACAACAGCAACCAAATCATTGCTGAAGCCACCGAGCCTGAGAACAGAGGGTGATGGAGAGTTTAATGGAAGGAGGAGAACACATATTGACGACAATACTGGAAATCAGTTCACAGTATCAAAATCAATCGTGGAAGAGGTTACCTGGCATCACTGCCTGGGATAGCTGCGTGGTGGCCGCGGGTGCCTTCCCATCTATTTGTAAAGGCGAGCACCGCAGCCCCGAGTTTCATTTTAGATGTACGCTGGCTGCACATTAGAAAAGCTCCACTAACACTAATAGCGTTACCAGCTCTACTGATGTTACATGTCCCTTTGCATTTAAATACCTCAGAACAGCATCACTGCCACCAGTGGCAAGTGATGCTCTTTGGGCTCGAGGCCACAGGGACGGATGCCAGCCTCGCCGCAGGGGCAGAGCCTGCCTGGAGCATCCGAGCCCCTGACGTCCCCTCTGCTGCTGGGCTGCATATAATACATCTAACACACAAAACGGTGGCTCCGAGCTCAAATTCCAACGCACATAAGGTTATTATAATTCAATATACCCGGTGAAGAGGCACCCAATGCTCTCGGGTGGTTTGGTTCCCTGCTGTGCTCGGCACCGCGCACGGCATTCAGCCGCAACTATGCATAAGCCACAAGCTGGGTAATAAAACCCCAGGATTTGGGTGGCCTCTACAAATAAATGCAACTCAGAAGAAGTTGCTGGCCCAGGCAGTAACGTAACTGCTACAGAAAGCTGAAACGAAAGCTCAATGACAGCAGGTAGCAGCACAGAGCGTGCTGGGAGTGGCAGTCTCCCACCCCAGACACACATCCTCCCCTTTTATTTAATGCTGGGAAAATAAATTTTATTGTAGCAAGAAGCTTAGATAATTTCTTTACTGAGGTTAGATGCTTCTTTGACTACACTGACTGCTACCTCCAGCAATAATGCCTTAAATCTCCCTGGGCAGGGTTTGATGGCACAGTAATAAAAATGTCTGTGCCCTGTTTATACCTCAGCTACTTCTGCAACAGCAGTGATGAACAACACGATTGATTTCTCCTAGTATGGAAACACCCTCGCCTGTCATCCCTGTTTGCTCTTGGTTTCTCTCCTCCTGTTTATTGCCAGAAAAGCAGACTCAAAGTCTTCCAGGTATGGCTGGCATCTTCCAGCGGGTTTGCACATCAGCTGCCGTACCATCAGATACCTCTGCGATACTTTTTGCATTTTTTGCCCGCCTAAGGGCATTCAGACCACGGCTCTCCAGTGAAGAAACCTGAACATCATTTCTCCATCTTGATTACACAGCTTAAATGCCCATCTCATTTACATCAAGTGAGACAAGGGGATTCTGGCCCACAGGGAGCAGAGAGCCCTAATTTCATTTCATTTAGCCTGCAGTCACAGGACTTCTTTTTCTGTTGAATTATTACTGGATAGCATTAAGATGTATGGCCTGCCAAATATGTTTAAATGACTTTTTGGTCCCCATCATCCCCGGGAGAAAGCTAACAAGATCTGTCCAATCTATCTAAATAGAGATGGGAGGGAGCTGGGAGGAGACAGTACTATTTAATGAAGCAGTAAAGAACTGAGGCTTTCAAAAGAGATGATAGACCCTAAATAAATAAATATAAAAGGCTAACAATGGCATGCCTAATTATATTTTCACTGTATGCCTGTTCAAAACAGTTGTATGTATCTATTCTCTCTGGTTTCCAGGCAGGCAGAAGCAATCCCTAAGTGACGCAGTCCTCTGACTGAAGCAACAGCAAAAATTTATTAAAAATATAAAAATCCACAAACAAAGCTGCATAGGTCCCTAGGCCACTTGTTATCTGCCATCAGAGCAGAACGGTTCATTTAGGATGTGTGATGGAGGATCTGGCAAAAGAAATCCCACCTCAGCCTCAGGACATGTCAACACACCCTGCAGGTTTTCACCATCCCCTTAGCCCAGATGCCCAAACACAACCAGTAAGTATTTATCTTATTTTTGGTAAAATATATACTTTACTTAATGAGTAAGGGCCACAAAACCTAGGTGGAAAGCTGCTATGTTTTTTGAAGGGATAATGGGCAGAGGGCAACAAAAGATAGAGGAAATACTAATTCCTTAAAGTCTACTGTTGCTGGAATTCCTAGAAGTACTGTAATTAAGAAAGAATAAGGAAAACTTTCTTTGATTTTGATGTTAGACAGTGCTTCAGACAGTCTACACACCCACTGTACGCATTCTTTACCAAAACATGGCCAGACACCCGATCTTTAGAAAAGGTAAGCATGTGCAAAATGGATACCTGAAAACAGAAAACCAGAGAGGTGTTTTACCTGAAATCACTCAAAATGACTGGTTTTAGGAGGGGAAATAGCTTGACTTCAAGCTGCCGGAATACCTGCACTCGATTATTCAAGTGTCATATTAACCAAAAACCCCAATGAAATAAGAACTCTATTATAATAATTTCAACTAGTTATGGCAGTCAGACTAAATCTATCTGAAAGGTTCAGGGAACCAGATTCCAACTTTCAGTTTTTTCTTTCTTTTCTGCATGAGATGATGCAGAAGTTGTGAATGTATTGTCACACAGCACAAGGAGTGAACAAATTTAGATGACTCAAAAATTTCTGTCGACTTCCAAGAACACCAGATAGCATCTGATTGCAATATATAGTTTATCTTAATACAACAATACCCAAAGTCAACTGTTTTTTCCCAAGTCCAAGTATTCTGTAGTCCATATGAACATACCAGGGCACAGTTCTTGCCCCCAGGATCCCATGGTGTGAAAGATCTTGCCATGCTATGACATGCACCAATTTAACATAACTCTGTTTTCATTTTTCTGCTGCTATCTCTGATGAGAGAAAAATATGGAAAACAGCACTGGAAAAAGAAAATAATTCAAATTGTATTTTTATGCAAATGAAGTAAAGATAAACTCTATGTCCTCTCTTAACATATTTCTACTTGCCCATAGATGCAATAAAAAGCAGCCTACTGAAAGCTTTTCATCCCTCCAAGAAAAGAATAGTCTAAAAGAAAAATGAGTACTCTAACCAATTCTAAGCAGTCAATTTGTTAAGCAACCATGCAAGTTACTTCTGCTTGGAGCAACAGAGCAATACCAACAAGAGCTGCAAACTGCCGCGTGAGCTGCATCAGGATTAATTATTTTATATGACGATGTCTGGAAGTAAGGGGAGCAAAAGAATGAAATGGAATTTTATCTGTTTTCAGCCAGCAAGGAAGCTGTTTAGGCTATTGGCTTCTGTAAGTGAATAGACAGCTTAAAGGCAGATCAATCAAGCTGCTTCCTAACTTGCCGTACACTGATTTAACCTCTTTGAATCTGAATGCTCAATGATGAGCAAAGCAGAGACAAATGGCTTGAAATGGAGTTGTGGTGAGACGTGCTTAAACCGGGTTGGGTGAATTGCTTGAACCGTTATTTTTGAAAATCTTTCATAAAATAAGAACAGATGAGCAGCAGATATCCCATGATTAACTAGCATGTCCCGCCAGCAAAAGTAAAACATGGCTCACAGCAAAATCATTCTCCTGTTACTGTTATTACAAATTCAGACAGTAAGAAGGAAAATTAACAACAAACACCTGAGCATCTGCTTATGCTTACAAAGGAGCATCTCCATCAAAACTGGAACTGAAGCAGGTTGTTTTGGCGAATTTAGAACTTTTGCCTCTCATCAAACTAGTAGATAGGCCCAGCAGTTGTGGGGGAGGTGGGAAGGGGAGATGAAGCAAATAGATACCTGTCAAATGCATGAAAACAATCAATATTGAAATACTGCCATCAGACCCCAGACTGAACCTTTCCAGACAGCCTGGCAAGTTTTAGACAAGGGTTCCTCTCTGTCCTCCTACAGGAGAGCTTGCTCAGAAAAAAAATCTTTTCCTATGTTCTTATTTGCTGTTTCTAGCCAGGCATTACGATGGAAAAGGCCCATTGTTTGTACTGCCCTGACAAGGCTAGTGATGTAAAGGAACGCTGCTGCTTTTTAAAAAATCCCCTACAAGGGAACTGACAGGTGGTTCACTTCTGTAAATTCAGGTTCACTGATTTAAGGACATAGCCTTGGAGCACAGATGCTACTGCATTCCCTTTCTTACTGTTTTCTACAAGAGATGTTATTTTTCTGGGAGATAGTCAGGCTGGACAGTCCCATATTCTGCAGGGCAGAGTTACTCAATTCAGCCTCAGAGGTTTTTTTCTAGAATCCTTTCTTCATCTTCTCCTGCCACTGTTACAGTAGATTTAGCTGCAGAAGAGGCTAATGCAGCTGTTCCCAGAGAGCCACAAATATTACCCTGCAACAGCTGGCGGGGAACCAGTTAACACTTTAGTGGCTGCTGCCAGAAGTACCCAGAGCAGGTCTCACCGGTGCAGTATAGCTCTGGTCCAACATAGTCCTGGTCAGTTGTGGAAACCGGGATCTGCCTCCCTGCCTTCCTCCGCACGGCCATCCTCGCACCGCTCCCATTCCTGTCCTGCTGGCTCCCCCTGCCCATTCCCGCAGGTGATCTCCGCAGGCAGCAGCCCCCCTGTCCCCCTCAACTTTCCTAATCAGAGAGACATGCCCTAACTCTTGGTGTCCACCATCCGGGACTAAACACTCCTTATCATCCTGCACGCTCAGGAAGATGGTCATAAACTTCATCTGTCCCCCCAATAGCATCAGAGCTGCTGCATACCCAGTACACGGTGAACGGCTTATTCTTTTCTGTGAGAATGAAACAGTATCTTCTCTTGGAAAAACTTTCATGGTCCAAGGGTCCTCTAACTTTTCTGATCACAATTAGGTGATGTTTATACGCTGCAATGAAATAATGGCATTTAAATCATAGGAAAATCTGGCACCTCTGTCCTATAGTTTCTTTCTGGCGAAAGGGGGGCTTTGAAAGAAACCAACTACAGCAAACGTATCACTTTTAAATATCCAGAGCATGATTCTTTACTTGCTTTGTAAATCACTCCTGAACATTACAGCCGCCTTGGCTTTAAAGTTACTCCAGTCCTTGTGCATGACACACAAGGGTGGCTGTCTCAGACTGCGCTTGTTACACTTCAGAGAAAGATAAATAGTGGCTGGTGGCAGCGATTCCCCTGGACCCCCGGCTGACACAACAAGCGCATCAGGTGGTGACGAGCAAGCGGTGATGGCAAGGTCACGTTCTGGGGAAAAGTCACTCTGAGCCACGTTGAAAATGAAGGTAAAGTTTTCTTCATAAGTTTCCATTTGAACTAGAAGGCAGTTGGGCTTTTTCTAAGAGGGGGGAAAAAAAATAAAAAATGTGATGTTCAGCATGAAAACCCTTTGCAGCAGCGAGCAGCATGTAATGTCATTGTAATGGGATTTGTGTTTGCAAGGGCCATGGCTGGCACTGGGGACCCCCCGTCACACAAGGAGCTCCCTGAGCGAGGCAGGGAAGCACTGCCGTGGTCAGCACGAAGCTTTTGGGATCTTCAGGCACTGGCCCGGCTGCAACTCTAACGAGAGGGGTCCTGACAGCCATCCATTTGGTCCTGGCTGCAGGAAAAGGGTCTTAAAAGACAGAAAGTATATTGAAAAGTGCACCTCTGGAGGGTGGAAAAAGCAAAAAGTTGAACACTATTAAAAAACCCTACACGACAAACACTCTTCCAAAAACTGACAGCTTCAGTAAGACCGACGTGGCACCCAAACCCTTCCCCTCGGCCAGCGCCTGCTCTGCCGTCCTGCGACAGAGAGAGAAGCACAGGGGGAAGCCTGAATCCCACTTAACGGAGACTTCAACTACTCACAACTTCAGGTAAGTGTTAGACTCCCTTGAAGTGCAAACCTTGTGCAAGTCGCTATGACCGAGAGGTCATCAGTCCCTTTACTACCTGTAGTAAAACCAAATTTGGAAAAAAGTGGTCACAAAAAGATGAAGACCAACGAATTTCTTGGGTAGTGTAATAAAGAGCCCCCGTCATAATTCACACATAATTTTAGAAATTAAATCTTAATAATAGAAAGAAATTGCAAGAAAGTTACCCATGTAGGTCTTGCTATTTCTAGCAGTTCTTCAAACTCATTTTGATGTGTTTGCTCTACAAACTCAGACTCTAACCAATTTCTTCAGATGATGGCTAAAATCCAAGGAAATTTCCTGTCATTTTGATTGAACTAAACCCCCGCGATCTGACGAGATTGTGATGTTGACATTGTAACATTGTTCAAGCATACCAAATCGTGAATACTTTTTCTAATATATGGATGATTCTCTCCTTTGCCTTGCAGAGGACACATACTCTGCCAGGAAACACCACTCCCAGAGCTACAGCTCACGCCAACGAATGCTCTGATAAGCAAGACCCTGCTACTTGGCAGGGGCATTTCTACGTGGCTACCACCAGCCTCCAGCCAGCACTGGACACACTACCAATGTGATGAGCAGTTATAAGCAAATGACATCATGTGAAATCTGGGTGTAGTTCTTGATTTCTTGCCCACCAAATTGAGAGAAAAGAAACTCCTGAAGTGGTATCATGTTGTCCGTTCATCGGAGCATGGATGCTTCCATCAGCATCCTTTTTTAGAAACCGGCAGAGCTTGTGACACCTAATTCACTCTGACAGAGTCACACCATTATTTCCACATCTCCATCTGCTATAGCATAAGGAACTAATGCTAATGTGGACATGTCCAAGAAGCTTGTAGAACAGGAATGAGTAAACTTGCAACCTGTTTCATGTATAGCACCAATGCATGTCTTTCTGCTCTGGAGAAGACAGGGACATTGGAGACTGCCCACGACCAGCGGAGGAGGAGGACATGGCAAGTCCTGCAACAGATATGGTTCAGAAGAGTTTAAATGGTGAAGAAATGGTTTCTTTCTTACCCTGGTTTGAAAGAGATCTGTGAGATAAGAGACATAAATTACCCTGGAACTTTCCAGATTTTCGGTGTCTGTGAATTGAAGAGAGATGCTGTAGCCCCTGACGGCTGAGACCCACCTGCTATTGACACAGAATAACTTCTAAGCATGAAAAGAAGTCTTCAAAACATCTCTTAGACACTGATAGTCAAATTTTTCAAGAGTTATGCGAGGAGCAAGCTTAGAAATCCCTTAATTTGCCAAAATGGGAATTGTTCACGTTCCTCTTGAGCCTTCATTCCAAAACTTTTCCCATTATTTCTGCCAGAGTAAAAAGAGGCAGGTATGAAAAAAAAACCAAACCCCAAGCTAATGGACAAGAGAAAGCCAGCCAAGCAAAGCGTTGGGGTGGAAGGGTAGGTCAGAGCTGCCTGCGCAGGCAGCCGCGGGCAGGCACCTTCCCGCACCAGCGAGCGGGGCCGCTGCAAACCAGAGGGGCAGCGGCAGAGCAGCCATATGCGATGAAATGGCATGCGGGCTCCTTGTTATTGTACTTTATTAGCCTGCTGGAGGCAGGGAGGGATAAAAAAAAAAAAAAAACAGACATTAGCAGTTTCTGTTACTCCTCATGCTGTTTTCTCTCCAGGGCTGTCACTGGTTTATTTATTTATTTATAAGGCAGGCTGCTGCGATGAGAGATGTCTTGGTGATTTTATGGAGTGGGCAGAAGAAATGGATCGAAAGGAGGTTTCTCAGCACCTGAGACCACAAATATTTATAGATAGGTGTGTTGTGACACATGAGCAATTCCGCTTAAAGCAAAAAGCTTTTTAAAAATGATTAAAGTTACAGGCGGATGCGAGGGCAATTAAGATATCCAGAGGTCATACCAGCTTAAACTTGGAAGAGGCAAAGACCATCAGAGTATGCAGAATTTGCATTTCATATACAAACTTGATACAAGAGATAGTAGATTCACAAGAAATAACATACTTCAAAGTCAGCCTCTGCTGGGTTTGCTGGAGACTGAGCTCTGGGCATGTCAGCTGGGTGCAGCAGCACAGCCCTCGCGTAATCTGGGGCTCACCCAGGCTCCTGACAGCAAAACCACCCAGACGACTAATTAAATAACACTTCAGCACAGCAAAATCATCTTGCTTACTTCGACTGATTATTAGGTAATTCTTCACAAGATAATTGTAAGAGAAACAGCAAGGCTCAGATACCACTTCTACTATCTCGATACAGCTGTTACAGCACCTCTAACATTTATTCGGCTACTTGCAGAGCCCAGCACCAGTCATCTCCTCTGCACTGAAACAAATCTGTTATTTCAAGTGACTTAAAATGGTTTTCACCTGACAACTTTTGAAGTTGGAATTTGAAATTAGCTGGGCCTCTCAATCCAGCTCCTATGGGGCATTGTCCACAAAAACTAATAACAACAACAGCAGCAATAATAACTATAGGAAACCAAACATCCCCACAAGCAGTATAACTGCTTCATCAGATAGTTCAACCTCTTCTATGAGCAACTTGTATCCAATCCTCAGAGTAAATTACCCAGCGCGCTGACAAGAGACACAATGAAATTGCTTTGCCACTGGCCCTGTTGGTTTCTTCAGAGTTTCTTTTATTATAGGAAATTAGTGGATCAATTAACACTTATTGAAGTACTTTTTGTTTCATGGGCAGAAGAACGCTTGCAAAGCCTGATGGAAGATCTACAACTTAGAGAGTTGCCACATGGGAGAATTAAGGTGGTGGCTCAGCATGATGCGGTCCCAAGTCCCCCAGCTTTCCTTTTCCCTTCCCTCTTCCTTTCTCCTTAAAGGAAATTACACCTGCCAAGTCTTCCCTTGCCTAATGTTTAACAAAAGGAAAGCTGATCAATGATCGCTTGGAGCTGCTGGTCTTCTCTCCCAGGAGCCAGAAGAATGAAGCTAACCTGCCACTCTTTTTTTTTTATTTTTAAAGCTGTTGGACACATGATGCCTATTGCAGGGAAAATCTTTTATTCCCCAACGTCCTCTGTTAAAGAGCTCTTACAGAAAAGGAATCCAACAGTTCATTACTTCTATCTGCTCAACACACTTTTGACATAATTGTATTAGTGCCTCACTGCAGGGCTTGAAAAGTGAAATCTGAAAAGCAGCTTTTTGCCATTGGTTTATTTATTTGCTGAAGCCCTGTTTATGCGCTAGAATACAAACCATATTATTTGCAGTTCATATAATTTGTTTAATGCATTACGTTCAAGAGGCCACCTGTGCTAATGCATCAAAGGAGTAAGTGGGTTACTCTCACTCTATTTAAGAAAGGAGAAAACTATTTTCTGGGCCGAGTCCCTCCCGTCAACGCACTTGCTTTCACCAAATTAAAGTCAGCGATGGTGCAGGGTAAGGGAAATGGTGAAGGGGAGAGCAGGAGACCACACCAGCGGCACTCACCTGGATGGCAGCAGCCGAGTTTGTTCTTTTGTGTCTCAAGCATCTCTCTCCTTCACGGGAGCCCGATAACGCTGGAGGGATGTGCTGCTCTCCGGAGGAGTCAGTGCGTTAGCAGCCCCCCCAGCACCCACAGGTTTGTATTTCTGCCGTGTCGGTGTTTCGCTGTTGCCACGA